GTCAGTTTATATACAAAAAACATAGATTAGAGAGGTCTTATTACTGTTGCCTTTTAAAAAGTAGATGTTTCCAGAGATTAAGGTTCTAAGTTGCTAAATAATATTTTCTTTTGTTTCCTACCAAGTTAAGAGGCACTTTCATAAAAAAATTGTATATATGAGATAGATAATAATCAGATAATATTTCATAAGAGGAATGAGTTATTTTCAAATTGAAATAGCATACAGTAGCAGGCTTCATATTTAAATTTTGTGCACATTACAAGAAAATATAGAGAATTGCATGATATGATCACTAACAACTGGAGCATGTGAGTTGAGGTAGTCAGAGCATAAAAAGCAAAAAGGTATGGAGTATGTGTCAGAGTATCGCCTACGTAAGAGGTTGATTGCAGAAATGTGTCAGAAAAAAAAAATCCATCCTGGGCACAGAGCCACCAGATGTGGGGGTGGGGGTCAGGTCACCCAGGGCTTCTGTGCCGGCCAAAAGGCAACTGTCAGTGATGAAAGCCGAGTGTAGCTGAATACCACACAGCCTTATCCAGAGGGATGAAAAGAACAATCTCGAAGCCCCATTCTCCCCCAAACTGAAAACCAAAGGCAGTAAAATTAAAGGAGAAGAAGGTCTTAATAGGAGCAGCCCAATCAGAGCAGAATTAGTGACTCAATGCTGGGTACTTACAAAGCCACCTTTAGGTTATGCAAAGCTGGAAGATGTAAGGAGGGAGTGGGGATAGCAGGGAAAAGTACTTACAAAGCAAAAATCAAATGGATGGAAGGAGAAATAGTTAAAAGACAGGTACTTTGACATAGGACAATCACTGCTTTATCTTTGATTTTTATCACAAGGAAGAAGGAAAGGCACAGGGAAACAGCCTTTCTAGACAGCAAGACATTGGCCCACTCTTGGCTATCCCACTAGTGACTTATTAGGTATCATTGTGGGCCAGTCAGAACCTCCCTGGAGTTGGTTTCCTCCTCTTTCCTAAACATGATAGGAAAATCAAGGTTATTTACAAAAAAAAATAGTCATTGACTCAATAGCTTAAAACTTTTCTTAGATCTTCAAGAGATCTCCTCTGTTACAGATCTCTGATCAAATGTAACTTCTACAATTTTTCTGAACATTACATAAAACAGTATAGCCCAGCCCACGTACTAGTCTCTTCCTTTCTTGTTGTTCTTCACAGCCCTTATCTCCATATGAAATTGAGAAATATATATGAAATATTCTCATCCATTTACTTCTTATTGCAATCATTCCCTCCAGAGAAAGCCCTAGAGGATTCTTCAAGCAAGCCCATGCCTCAAGCAATGAACAGAAGACAGCAATACTCAATAGATACATGAGGGACTAAATTAATGAAAATAGTTGTCACAGAATGACGAAATAGTGAGGAGTCCCATGTAGACAAGAATATTTCAAGATGAAGTCACACAATGTTGGCTAATCCTGTGAAAGAATAGAAGATTATAGACATCTAGAGACAGCATGCTCTCCTGTCCATGAGCATCCTCAACATCATTCCTCCACAGCCGGGATGCTGTTCTTTCATTTGTTATTTATATATATAGTATGTTTATCTCTTTCTGTTAAGATATTACCTAATGTACAACGTGGTCCAAACTTGAAATTCCTTCCAAATAAAGCTTTGGGTTATATATGACTAAAGTAATCCCAATAGGAATCTGTTGTTTGTGTACTTAGGAGGAAGGAGGGAAGTACAGATGGCTACACCTGCAACAACTATAGCCTTGGTTTTTAAGGATTCTATAACTCCTTCTAAACGCATTTTCCAAACTCATTTCCATTCTTTCTCTTTTATTCCATAGTCTTTCATCCTCCTCCCTCCCCGGGTGGTCTTCTCCCTTCTTATCTCATTCTCCATACATCTGCTTTATCAGTAGCTAATACAGAGGTCACATGGAGATTTTAAAGGAATCCTATTTAGTCTTTGAATGTTGGCAACGCAAGTGGCCCTCCCTAAAGCAGGAGGGCAAAAGCTACCAGATGCAGAAGGCTCAGTAAATGTAGCTACCAGGAAAGTGGTCAGTTCCTTGGCTGTGGGTAAGTGTTCTTGGGCTTCCAGGTCTCTTCCTCCCCCACCGCATGTCAACCACAAAACATGCCCATAATCTTTTGACAATTAAGCCTAGAATCATTGGATTTTAGGACTAGACTGGGCCTTAAAGATCACCACACCAATCCCCGCAATTTACAAATGAGGAAATAGAGGCCAAGGGAGGTTAAGTGACTTGCCAGGGTCACAGAAGTAGTAAGTTGACAGGATGCAGAGACCCAGATCCCAGACCAGGCCTCTGAAGATGAATGCTGGGAAAATCCATTTTTTTTTTTTATAAAACCTTATAAAAATGAAGTTTGGGAATGAATACTTTGGGAATGAATGAGTACTTTGATTACAAATCAATGAATTTCTTAAGAAATTCCCAGCTATTCTCCTCCCACCCCCACCTTAAAGCAAATAAGTATTTGATGGTTAAAAAAGGGAAAAGGCAAAAATAGGTTAGGTCATTACACTTTGTTTTTACTCAGCCATTTATTTTCTCATATTTAGGAGTTTTCAGTGTAACATCTTATACACTTAGTGACTATTCCATTACGCTGACCTCTAACTTCTGCCTTTCAGTAATGGAAAGCAGCTGATTTTAATGTGCCGCCGCTTCAGTGTGAAGGAGGTTAAGGCTGCATGCATTTGAGTGCAATCAGGTTAAGATTGGCTCCAACAGGAGAAAAATCCATACATATGTTGAAAAGATCTGAAAAATGCCTGTATTCCCAACCTGATTACGACTTACATTTTTGCATGGTTTGTCAAAGCAGATCACCAAAATCAAATCAAGATGTATAAAGGGATAAAGTGGTTTTCTTCTCCATTCTTCCATTAATCACCGTGACCTATTGAAGAAAGGGACTTTTCCCTCTCTCACCTGAGGCAAGGTGGGATACTTCACTGGAAGTTATGCCAATTTTTACCGTCTCGTGCTCAAGATCCAAAATTAATTTTCTAGTTTTTATTTTCCACATTTGTAAACAGATATTTCAGGGCAGAGCAATTTGCCATTCCTATCAACAATTAATTCTCTTTCACTTCCCTTTCAATAAAACAAAAACATCCAATACAACTTTGAAAGCCTACTTGAAGCTTTATAAAAATTTTGTATTAACCTGAAAATATAGGTACCGAGAGAAATATCTGACCCTTCATAACAGATAAAACTTAGTGAAGCCTAAATACAAATTTAAACAGAGCCCATTACTAAATCACTGGTCAAATAGAGAATACTAGCAAATCATACACAAGCAATCTGGAGGGCATGATTTAAAATTGCCCACAATGTGAGGCATATTCTGTTAAGACAGTACACTGTTGTTATCATAAAAAATACTAATAGAATAAACATAGTTAACAATCTAGCTGTTATCTGGGAAATTCTCAATCAGGGCTAGGTCAAAATAAAGAGTTTTTGAGGGGACAGGAATATGTTGGCTCTTGTTACACATAAGCATGTTTGTTATAGGAGCATTTTCAGTTTAATTTTTGCTATTAACGCAAACCACAATCGGGGGACCAAGTTGCTGGAAAAGGAATGGGAGGAGGGGCTAGTTAATATAAACAATATACAACAAAGAAAGTCTTTCTTTCCAATACCTGAATACATCAGGTTTGTTTTTAGGCAGAAGGTTGCAGGTTAAATGCTCTCAGCTATCCAAGAAGTAGCTTATTAGTTTTGTAAGAAAATATTTTCTTATATTTTGACTGAAAAATACCCAGTTTAAGTGAACAAAACCATCCTTGTTAGTGAAAAGCAGAACCAAAAAAAAAAAAAAAAAAAAACTTTGTTTCAAAGACCCAGTAAGTAAAAGCAAAACTAATTCAAGAGGAAAACTGCTTTCTTAATAGTAGCTTCTGGATCTGGATCTAATAGTTCTCAGAGGCCGACTGGAGTCTTCGTGTCTTTAGTTTTGTCTCCCTCCATGGATCATAGACATTCTCTATGAGGCAGCATAATGTGGATATAAACCCATTTTAAACAGAGATATATGTTCTTTTTCTGGGCTACATTTACAAAGCTGAGAAGCTATGCACCAACAGAAAGAACGAAGGAGAACAAGAGTTTGGATTATTGTGTAGGGCAGTTTTCCAAACACATCTTTCTTTTTCACTTTTCTATTTTGTACACCAGAAAATCCCAATTTCATCTGTGGGCAGTGGAGCATCCGCCAGTGATGCAAGTGATTACTGCTTTGAGAAGCAAAAGACGAGCGCTAAGAACTAACTGCAGCTCAACCTACCGCTTCTGCTTCAGCTGGCACCTCAGCTATGTACTCCTCTAATTTCTAAATGGGTCTGATCCTGTTATTACAGAATAATGACTGCAAATCAGCACAATTACTACCACGAGTTGAATAAACACACACATACCAGTAGCTGTTTTCTACAAATTATTATCAAAACAAAGAGCAACGGCTAATTGTGGTAACATTAAGACAACATTTATTCCTCCCAGTGTTTGGGTAAGTTTATTTTAAGTTGTCATCTTCAACTAGTAATGACGCGGATGATTTTACAGATTCCATAAACCTTTCTAATCTAAACTCTTCTCAACTCAAAGTTGGCTGCTTCCCTCAAAGCAACATCTGCAAAGGCCCGATTTCACAAGAACCGCTTTTATGGTACATTTGCAAAAAAAAAAAAAAAAAAACACGCTTTTAGAAATCTCATTTTAGAAAGTGCATTTGTAATGTATTCTTCTAAGTTATTTTTGAGGCATCGTGAAAGTGATAAAAGAATGTGCACTTTTTATTCTTCAAAATTTATGGGATTTTTTTCCCCCTAAATAAGTACAATGTAGAATTGGACCTCCTTTCCAAGGTTATTATCAGATTTCCTTCATGGATAAATAACTTTTATTGGAAGGGAGGGTGATGAGAGAATTCAGAAAGCACATAGCACACAATAGAGATTATTCAAACCTACCTCCTGGACAGTGCCTCATGGCCATCTTACACCTCCTGGATTCAGCAATGGTTGGACATGGTATTGTGTCTTTTGCTGGCTTTTTAACAATTTGCCGTGTTCTGGTTTCCAGACCCCATTTAAATCCACACGTGCGATTATTTCTGCTACAAGTTCCCCATTCGCTCCAGTGACCAACTTCACATCCTTCTAATAAAGATTAAAAAAAAATACAAACACATAAAAATCTGAGCCATTTGCTGTGTTATCAAATTCATATAACAGTGTTTCTCCATGCCCCCTATTCCCAGAAAACCAAAATTAAAGTCCTATGGCCCACAAAGACCTACACTCGCCTTTAGGAATTAGACTTCTTTGAACCACAGGGTACTTTTATCTACAACAAATGCCACATCATAATTAAAAAGCTGTTTGTCTCCGTTTGTCTTAGCTTATTTTTTTTAAGTGATGCTGCTGGTCAGTTCTAACAACACTGAAATGTATAAGCTCTAAAAGACTCAACAGCCAAACCCTGCAGTAGAAGACACTATTTTTATACCATGACAGAAGCCACAATTTTACAAGTTAATTCTGAATGCCTGACCCCAAATCCAAAAATGTGTTTATTTTGGAAGCACTTGAGGGAAATGATAGGAGGCTTGTTTTGCATTTCTGGTTGTCTCTTTCCACAGGTGTCTGAGGACCTCAGCATTATTTCTGAGTCTCTACATTGGTGCTGTACCTTACTACAGTTTGAAAAGTGAATGAACATAGATATATTTTTTTCCTAGATACATTTGGTAAGGTATACAGAAGTACAAAAGCAGACTGCGCCCATGCATTTCCCTGAAAACGTAAGGAGGGACTCCTCATCAACCTGGCCATTAGAGAGCTCCTTCACACTAGTAGATCAGAACTCAGATCCAGAGTCCACACAAAAGATTTTATCATTCTGGAACTCAGTAGGCATCACAGCTATTTCTAAGATTTCTCAAAATCACTAAAACTTTTATTTGGAGAATACCCAAGACCATATTTGTAATATGTCTACAGTTAAAGATTTCATAAGCATGTCCACTGAACATCTGTAATGAGTGCAGGTCTTGCTTCTTAAAAGCAAATTCAGCATTCTGAATACGTTGTTTCAGACATTTCCTTATTTTTAGTCTTATTGTTTGCATGTATACATGAGCTCACACATAAATAAGAACATAAGTATATACAATTCTTCCACTTCACATTTACATATATTCCTTTTCTGAAAGCTTTCAATATGTAATTATTTTTTTCACCATATTTTTGCAGAAAAAAATTACAAATTTTCTTTTAAATCTCCTCCTTTTAAGTGAGGGTAAACTTGCTTTTCTCCTAAACATTATTCTCTAATAGTTACAAACAATTTATTAAGAAATGGATGTACTACAGATACAAAACTGTATCAGCACTTAAATAAGTAAACCTAGCAAATATACAACTAGAAAATTTCATAGCATCATATATGTGACTACCAATCATGATGCCTAAATATTTCAGTAAGTCAGCAAAGAAGTAAAATGATTTTCAGTTCTAATGAACAAGAGAACTGATTCATTTTTAGGTTAAATATATCCAGCATGCCTGTTTTCAAGAAATAGGTGATAAAAGTTGCAGTTTGAGAATTACATTAAAAACTACTCACCCACACATTCCATGGTCTCATCTAATGATGCAAAACCATCTGGACATTCATCAAAGCAACGTCCTCGATGTAAGTAAAAGCCTACTTTGCACTTGGTACAAAAGTCTTTGCTAAAGCAAGAGTCACAGTTTTCTATTCTGCATCCTAAAAACAATTTTAAAGAGAAAGTTTCAATCAAGGAAATTTATTTATTTTGCTAATAAAATTCACAAACTCACTGGTTAGCCCAGTCAAAATTCTAGTGGTCGAAGAAATACATGCTCTATGCATTTGTTTCCTAATGCTATCTCATTCTAAATCATTCTATGTCTTCCAACAACTTGCCACATTAATTAGCTAAGTCCAAACGGCAGCCCAGGGCCCTAGGCAGCAAGAGGCTCTTTGGGATTGTTTGCAACTCCAAATGGGATTAAAACAAAGGATGGAAAAAAAAAAATACCCACATTCCAAATTACATTGCTGCCTGGATTAAAATCTGTTCTGCCTTTCAAAAGACAATAAGAATACTATAATCAGTATCTTCTGTTTGGAGATAGTTATCAAGTTAAGAATTTTAAATTTGAAAATATTTTTAAATGTTTGGTCTATTACTCAGCATGCTGGACAAAGCATCAGAGGGTGACTTGACAGTGGTACAAGTGGGTAGGCTGGGTCATTCTGTAGAAAACTTATGATGGACCGAAGGCCTTATTCACATTTCTATTGACTCTTCCTAAAGAGTATATATTAGACTTTCCACTTTGCAAATGAAGAGTATAACAGAGTATTCTAGTGGCCAAGTTGGTCCTGAAAGCTCCCCAGACCACCTCCCTCCTAAATCCAGTATTTTTCCCCTGGAATTCATTAACTGAAGATTGTTGGGAATAGTCTGTGAAACAGAAGTGCTTTCAGGTCAGATCTAGTTTGAAGACTAGCTCTGTAATGGTGGTTGACCACATGCCTCTTTGAGCTTCTATCACTTCCGTTATAAAACAGAGATGTCACTGACCATACAAGATTATTGTAAGGATTTGTAATAATATATGTAAATTGATTGGGTCATAATAGGTAGGCTGCAGACAGAAGCACAGTGCATTAAAAACAGATTTGGGGGGCTGGGGATACAGCTCAGTTGGTAGAGTGCTTGCCTTGCATGCACAAGGCCCTGGGTTCTAATCCCCAGCACCACAAAACACACACAAACACACCAAGAAAAAAATGATTTTTACACAAAACACAAGGGTTTTTTGTTTTTTACATCAGTGATGAATACAAGCAGGCTTATATTCCAGATCAGATTCCCTGGTAAAACTAACCTCTGGAACACAAGGTTACACCTGTCACTGGGATGCACAGGTGAAAATAAATACACTTCAAGGAAAGGAGAGTGGATTGGCTAATTAAAAGGTCATTTTGAACATAGTACATTACTACTTTTAATAGATTTAACTGGTTAATGGCATGTAAAGTGCCATGAAAGCTTCAAGGCATCACATTTATCCATTTAACAAGTCCCCAGCACTATATTTGGTGCTTTAAGGATTCTAAAAAGCTGTAAAATATATAGCTCCCCCCAAGCAAAGAGATAATGGGGTAGAAAATGTAACTAAAATATAAAATCGCTAAATATTAAAATTTTGAAAATTAAAAAAAATCTAAGAATGAAAAGGTGAACTTTTTTTTTATTAAACTGTATTACATTATAAATAATGACAGTTTTTAGACCTGTAAAAAAAATAGGCTTTCAATTCTGAGTTTTTATGTTACAGTTATTATGCATTAAGTGACCGCCACAGAGAAGACAACTTCTAAAATGTTTCAAATAGGAACCAGCCACAAGCAGATTCAAGTCCATAGACAAATTACACGACGACTGCTTCTTTATAGGAGGAGGGAAATAGTGGGCATTGGAATCATAATTTAATGTCCATAAAAGATTTAGTTGTTATCTTAAATGCCATAACCTATATTTTAATAAAACAGTGGCCTATAGCTGGTCAGTTGCCTCTTAATCATGGTCAAAATACATAACCATTACATCCACAAATTGTGGGTTTTCTTGCTATATTAAAAAAAAAAGCAAGCATCTCTGCTACAGAATTATTTTCCAAGAAAAAACAAGCATTTGAAAGGATAAAACAGATCAAATGGGTGAAGAGAACAAAGAATTTAGGTTTAAAAAAAAAAAGACTATACACTTCATAAATCAGCTGTTATCTATAAGATCTGATTTCTCTTTAAAACGTGGCCAGCACCAACAAGCTTTTTGGCCAAAAAGTTATAGCAATAAATATTTGAAATTAATTATACCAGGTTTTTTACTGATCTTTATTATTACTTATAGCTCCCTTTCCTCATTTCATTCCATGTTCCTGATACCAGTTCAGGATATGTGGAATTTCTGAAATACCTATCATTCTCTTCAAAGTCCCTTAAGATTCTTTAGGCATAAACCCTGCTAGAAGAAAGCTTAATTATTTGTTTCTCAAATTTAATAAAAATATGATACATGCAAGTGGTAAAAGTACTATCACCATTAAAAGGCAAAAAGGATTATATGTAATGACCCAGAAAAAAAAATTCTAAAGAACTATTGTTAAGAAAAAAAAGTCAAGCTGCAGGGCATTTATAGTGTGAGTCAATAATAACTATATTTGCATGCATGCACAAACACGTGTATGTGTGAAAGAAAATAGTTTCAGAGACTTTAATTTGGAGAAGGGATGGTAGACTTTTGAAATATTGAAAATGTTATATGTAATTCTGAACCATATCAATCATATATAATTATATTTATGTAATAGGTTTAACCAAATAAAATTATCAAAAAATACATTTGTGATCTACTTATGTTTACAATCTACTGTATTAACATAATGAAATAAACCACTTGATTTCAATAGGCAAGAACAAATAAAGGCATAATATCCCATCCCAAACTTCTTCAGATTGGGGTACATGAGTTATACCCTTTATTTAATAATGCTAAACTTGCTGTACTCTTTGAATCATATATTTAACCATGTCTTGCCAGTATCCTGTTCTCTTGCGTTCAAAGGTACTTTTCTTTCACTCTGATCATAAGGGAAAAAATTTAAACAGTATCTATGCAATACGGCAATTTAAAAAAAATTTTTTTTGATTGATGGCGAATCCTGACATCTAAGCCTTGCTGGCCTTCCTTGGGTCCATCACTCTTGGCCTCAATGTAAAACCCGCACACGCAGCAGCCTACCATGAGATGCACCCCTACACACAGAAGAGCCCAGGGCTGTTCACAGCTGGCCCTGCACAAACCACCTTCTCCAGAAGTCTCCTTGGTGAGATGCAGTACCTGAAAACCTGTTCTCAGAAGCTACAAATCCATGCACTATCCCTGTCCATCCAATTGTCTAGGAGCAAACTCCTTTACTCTAGGGTGAGGAAGACCCCTTGGGGGCCTCGCATTTCTATATATTCTCCCTCAGACTGTAGCCACTTCAGCATATTAGCCATAATTTAATTGGGGTTCATATCAACTCTATTAACTTTTTAATGTATATAAAGCATCATCATAAATAAAAATTCAAAATATTTCAGAAGGCTTAAAGGAAAACAGAACATCCTCTTTCTCACCTCAATGGCACATCCAGGCCTCCTCTCCAGAAATCTCAGTTTCTTGTCTACACTTTACAAAAATCTCTGTGTGAATCTTATAAATTGAATAAGTTAAGCATCACTAAAATACCGATGTGATCACACAATATATTGGTAAACCTTAGAAAACTTCATACTGTGTAAGAAAATAGGTATATCAAAATTTACTAAACATACGCCTTTTCTATAAAAAATATGGGTTTAAAATCCTTGTTCAGAAATCTGAGACCCTACTTTAGCCAACTTACATGCCTCTAAATTACAGTGCCTCCTCAAAAATGTAATCCACCGAGGGAGGACTGCCAATATTGGTTTAAGTAAAATTACTGTCCAAGTGAAACTGTAGCCAACTAGAGTCTAATGGGGCTGTCATTTGGCAGGAAGAGCTTATGCTGGCCCCAAAACAGAAAAACAGGCTGGGTACCACCTCTCCTGTCCTCCCACAGGCTCGAATGTAACATTTTTCAAATTATACTGTTGTCCAGGTCAACATTCATTCTGAACAGTCCCCAAGGGTTAGTATGTGCCAGGTATTGTGCCCAGACCCTCAGCATGTGAGATGTTAATGCCATTCCCTATCCTGGGAGTCCTAAAAGCAAAAGGGAGCCACATGACAGGAATAGGGCATCAAAACAACAAAGCAGAGGCAGGTGTTGGGTTTTCTAGAGACAGAGAAAAGGTCTTCATATCTGATCTGCCATTAAATGTTTGTTTATATTTTGGGGGATCTGTGAATTCTGTTCCTAGCACAATGCTAGCTAGACACAGTGGAATTTCAATGCTTGCCAAGTGAACGAACATGAATGCCATTTTAAAATTCAACTTCTTTCATATCTGAATGTTCTGTGTGAGATTGCTTGCACATGCACTGTAAATATCTCCAATATTTAAAAAAGCTATACTTGCTGTAAAGAACTATAATTATATTGGAAGAACCAACAGTTAAGCACCTGAAAACAATTTTAAAAGAGAATGTAAATATCAAAGTAAAGCAGGTGATCTATGCTGTGGAGGTTGAAATCTCAGCTGAACCTCTTTTAGACAGAGGCAGGGTTTCCTGGCATGGGGGCTACCTTCACATGGCAGCAGAGAAAGCTCACACAGCCTGTGATGGGCCCTGAGGAGTGGCACAAATGAAGGGAAGGTCCATTGGTGGGGAGGCTTATTTAGATTCAAAGGCTGTGAGTGAGGATGACAAATTATTTGTACTTGGTGTAGTTTGAAGTAATAATTAAAATGAATAGTAAACAAAGCCAGGTTCAAGAATAGGGACTTAATCTGACTTGTAGTGAGTGATCTCTGTAGATTTCTGAGTACCTAATTTGTCCCCTCATTTAGACAGGCAGAAGCCCCAGGATCCAGGCAGCCTAATAATGGACACACCTACGGCACAGATGAGAAGCTATGTTCCCATACCTTAGGGTCTTCCATTACTGACAGGAAAGGTCCTCAGCAGAATCGGGTAATAAAGTGACTGCTCTACACTAGAAGTACATACAGAGTGAGCTGGTGAGTGAAGGTTTTCTGAG